AGCAAAAATACTTAAACATTCATCCATTTTTAATATATTACTTAAACTATCACAATGGGAAATGCAAAACGTTTTGTGCAACACATGGTTTTCTTTGTTAAGAATATTTTCCTAGGAGAGGACTTCTCCAACTTCAGTGAGCATCAGAAGCCCCTGGCGGGCTTCCTGTTAAAACAAATTGCTGGATCTCCCCGCTCCCATGCTCCTGGTTCCGATTCTGTCGATCTGAACTCGGCCGGAGAACTTGCATTTCTCAAGGGACCTCCGATGGTGCACACGCTGCTGGTCGGGGACAATATTTGGATAAAACTGCTCAAGGACAATAAAGTTCAAAATAAATTTACCGCGTTAAGTGTTATAAACCCTTTATGAGCCTAAATGGGGGTCTATAGCAAGTGCTATGGTAGTAAGACCAAATAAAAATGACTAGAATACAGTGAGGGAAACATTATTGTCACCTTATCTTAAAGGAAAACAGATGTGAGAGAGTTTTAACTCTCAGAGGAGCATATTCGGGCTCGACCCTGGAGGTCACATTCCTTTTGTATGTGAGATTCTGTCTAAATCTACTAGTGCATGCCCTGGGAACGCGCTTCCGTTCCTAGAATGCAGAGAGAAGTCCGTGGTTTTAGGGTGTCTGACACTTCCATAAAACGAGATCTGGTCCGAATGCTCCCCTCCTTATTCCAGTCTGGTGAACCAGAGTCTCTGACCCCAGAATGGGCCCTAATAATTTGGCTAGAGTTATTCCAACATTTGCGTGTTTTCATCTCCTTTTTGCGCCTCTCTGTGCTGCGCGGGGCCGAGCGCGGGGCCCTGGAGACCGCGTGTGCTCGGAGCGCGCCTTTCCCGAGCCGGGAGCCCCCTCGCGTCCCCTCCTGTCCCTGAGGGGTCCCCGACCTCCCCGCCCCGGCTTTTGCAGTCGGGACGGAAACTAGGCCCCCGCCTCCCTCTCCGCCCCAGGGCGCTTTTAACGGTTCTTTTGGAAGGGCAAGTTGAATGCCACCGAAGAGGGTCCTGATTTAGATTTTAGCTCCGTAAGTAATCCCACGACCCCTCATTGCCGTGCCTCTCCCGCTGGCGTTTGCCACCTCGACGTCTTTCAGGGCGCACTTTCGGCCGGGCTCGCCTTCCACAGGTTCGCGAGCACTAGGCGTGACCGCGGGGTCCGCGGAGGGCCGCAGGCAGGGGACGAGCCCCAGCGCCCAGGGCACTTGCCGTTCGAGTCTTCCGTCCCGGCTGTTGGATTTGCTCGGGTTGGCCTCCTTCGTTCTCCAGGGAGAGCCCGGACCTACCACGGGCGACACTCCACGCGTCCCCCAGTGCTTCACCGCAGCTCCGGGGAGACGGCAAGCAGGTAGTCGTGGCCGAGTGGTTAAGGCGATGGACTTGAAATCCATTGGGGTTTCCCCGCGCAGGTTCGAATCCTGCCGACTACGCTTTTGCCAGGAACCAACCCAAGTTCCCACAACCCAGATTGTTCCCCCAACGCATATCCTCCACCTGCACCTGCAGATACGGATAGCGCACGCCTTCCCCTGTCCGAAGACGCTACTTTCTCAAGTGCGGGAGTCACCCTTCAAAACTGGGAAGCTACGCAGGGCAGTTCACCTGACTTCATTAGATGCCTCAGATCACAAATTCCAGCCCCTGGGCTCCAATAGCACGCTGGTACTCCCTGTAACCACTCTCCACTCATGGGGAGGTAAGGATTTATAAAAAGTAGTGACACTAACGGGTAATTTTATTGAACACTTTGTGCCAAGAAGATAGGAGTTAAGCAGGAACCCCATGATAGTTGATTTCCAATGCTGCACAATGAGACGGTATTGACCAAGGACTTCCAGACAGGGTTATGAACTGAGGTTTTCATAAGTTCCTTAGGAGACACTCCTCAAATTGTCAAGTTGTTAGCAGACTCAGGGTTAGATGTGTTAGTATCCCAAAATAATAGATAACAGGTCTTATTTTTCAAGCCTTTACTACACACCACATTCCAAAGACTTTACACGTCTTATTATTTGTAGATCTTTACAACATTTGTATTTTACAGACCACAGGGTCCACAGAGATCCAGCCATAAATGATTGAAGTATCAGAACTAGGAAGCAGGAGGACGGAGCTTAAAGGTCGCTTGGTTTTGGCTCTGCACCCCCCCCCCCCAACAGTTGTCTGTGGGCTTCTGTCTGTGCTGGGGATTTCTACCACCATCTGCCTCCATCACTGGGTTGGTTCACTGTTCTGGATTCATCCTCTGGTGATAAGGCCATGAAAGGGGTGCCATGTAAGGTTCTGGATTTAGCCTGGCACAGAATACTGCTGCCCCTGAGTGTTTAGTGCTTGTATTACCTTTGACGCAGGGAGTATCACTCATCAGTACATGGGCGTTTGCCTATTTTTGAGCAGGGGTTTCTTAACAGTTTATAAAGAGTTTCCCACACAGTAGACCTTTTCAGCTCCTGAACACCAGAGCTGACACTGGAAAAGACTTTTTCAGCCAACAGGATTTGGATGTAGCGTCTAAGACTGGTTTGAGAGAGAGGGAAGAGCTATTTTGGCCCCAGATATGGAGAGAAATTGGAAGTAAGCCACATATATATATTGGAAGGGAGTGAGATTTTAAAAATGCTGCAAAGCATCAACCCACATATTTCTTAGAAAGAATTAATGCTTCAATTCTTCTGCATAGAGACCCCAGAGCAGATTCTTTTGTCCCCACTTCCTACTTCCTATAACACTTTCAAGGGATAAAAGTGTTTCTGTGGGCTTCACAAATGATTGGAAGAAACAAATAGTGGGTTAAGAGGCTTACGAGTGCTTGTCCAGAAGAAAGAAATATGGACGCAAACTTATAAGTGAGGAAGAAGAGATGGCAAGGATGGGGCAGTGGGGGAAAAAGGTGACCACAAACAGAGGGGGAAAAACACTGGATATTTCCTTGTAAAATTATGTGACTTTGAAGATAAAGAAATAATTATTTAGGGAGTCACTAAAGAAATCACTTTACTGCTAAGGGGAAGAATCATACTGGAAACAGCATTCTCTAGAATAATATTCAATGGTATGAGGAAGTGGGAAAAACACCTACAAGATACTTAGGGAAACATAATGTAAGTCAAAGATTTTACATCCAGCTCAGATGTATTTTGTGTCAAAGAAAGTGTATTTACCACAGAAAGTATTAGGCAACATTTAAAAGGAGTAGATCCACACATAACTATATAGATGAATCTAAAAAAAAAAAAGTGAAAATTTCAGGAGCAGAATGAGATATATAGCAAAATGCCATATGGAAAATAAAATTAAGTACACAAAAATACTGACATCTGCTTTGCAGAAACAAACTCTAGTAAAAATGTAAACATTAGATACTTTTTTTAAAAAAAAGATCTATATTCGAGAGAGAAAGGGAGAACATGAGTAGGGGGGTGCAGAGGGAGAAGCAGATGGGGAGTCTGACATGGGGCTGGATCCAAGGGCCCTGGGATCAGGATCTGAGCTTAACTAACTGAGCCACCCAGCCGCCCTGTGTTAGATACTTTTAAAGTTAACTTTGTGGGAGAGATTAGAGGGACACCATTATAGAGGTAAAAAAATCAATCAATTAAGATATGGTCTTTACAGATACTAATTTACATGTGGGATAGTCTAAAAATCTGACAGGTGTTTAAAATCCCTGTAATCTTTGAGACATAATTAAAGAATCTATATATATCATTTGACCTCTTTTAAATGGATAAAAGTTAGAATGACAGAAACTTCAAAGTATCAATAGAGTTGTAGGGATGTCAATGCTTGCGAACTGATGTTTGGAAACTACGGAGTTATTTTGGAAACAAATCTGGCACCATTTAATTAAATAAAAGGTAAACATACCACAGGATCCAACTTTTCTGTCTCGTGCTAAATATCCCACAAGACTATAGGAGGATATCTATAAATATGTTCAGTGTAGTCGTGTCTACACTGGTGGGATTTTTAATCAATCTGTTTGTCTAGGACTTGGTGAGTTGATTAAACTGGGTGGATGCACACACTGAGGGATGAAACAGGGAGAAGAAGTTACAAATTAAGTGTAAAAACTATGTGTGCAACACTGTACTGCTCATATAAAATAACAAAACACATGCAAACAGAGCTCCATATTTCACAAGAAAACATTCAAACAAAAAATTACAGAGTCGGGGGGGAAGGAGGTGAGGGGGGGAAGTTACATAGTAAAAAGTAGAATAGTTGCTACTGGACTTCCAAGACACATATAACATTCTTCCAAGAATGTTATATTGTGAAAGGGAAATATCAATCGGTCAAGTAAAAAAAAAAGAGCTGTATATGGACCAATAATGGTAACGTGCTTTGAATTGTGGGGCATAATTAATTCAAATGCCTGCTCTGGATTCCGAAAACAGATTGCAACTCTCTGACAGTATGTGGACCATGTCAGTGCCTCCGGCCAGACTACCAGGAACATCCCTGTGGTTGAGCAGGCTGGGCTTCTTATCCACTGCGGTGAGGAGAACACACACTGGAGGAATCATGAGGTGTTTATGGAGGAGGATGTTAGAAAGAACCTATTCTAGGATTTGGGCTCTGGTTGGGTGCTTTGGGTGACAGTCCAAAGTAGCAGGGTTCTGATCTGGATTAGAACTGTCAGAAAGCAGAGCTATTCTATCACTGGGTATCTCAAATGATCTTATTTATAAGGAAGTAGACCAGAGTGAAGGTAAAGTGGTAAGGAGTGGCAGTCACTTGTTTTAGTGAGAGGGAGGTTTGGTATTTTGTGGGTGGCCACAGTGACCTGGGCTTTGCTTAGCTTCGACAAAGTTGTGATGCCACCTGTTGGTCTCACTTTACCATGGTCTCAGAGGCACCATGTCTGATGTTGGTATTCTGTGAGATTACGCTCAGCAGAAGAATCACATGGTGTGGCTTGAACGACAGGCCAGCTTCCGGATGCTGTAAGTTGCTTTCTTCCCCGGTCTTTCTTCCTCTATAGCAGCACTTCTCTGGTGATGAAATTCTTGTTTCCTTCTTAATTTCAAAATTGAAATTCAACATATCGAAGTTCTTTTGGGATAGGGATGAGGAATATTGATTTTGACCAAAGTCTTTGAGTTCCATTTCACAACAGATTAGCATCTAACATGTGGGTAACGAGGGACATTAAAACAACCTCAAATAGAGCCACTTTCATGGTGTGAGATGGACAAACTTTGAGAGGATCAAAGATCACTGGCATGATTAATTCCATTTTAGGACGACCTGTATACCAGAAATCCCTGTATCAGTCCTGTACCCTGACCTGGTAGGAGGGCTTACTTAGTTTGCAGACAATAAAATGATCTACTCATAGAATGTCCTAGGAAACAGATATTACAAAGGCGTCATTGTAGATGGCAACACTCTTGATGGGAGAGCATTACAAAAATGACCCTGATCACACTTGAAGACTTCATCAGCAATATACAGTGAGTGATTGATATCAACTGCGGGCAAACTGCATTTTTACTTGCTCTGGATATACACTCATCTACTTCATTCATGCCTTCCTTCTTAAATATGGCTGGGTCTTCTCATGCTTAATCAGAAAAAAACAAAAAGGAAAAGAATCTTCACAATCCTTCCTCCCCTCTTCATAATAATCCGATTAATCCATATGGCTATGGGTTTTAATCAACCACGGTGACCAGTTTTTGATGTAGAGAGAATATCTACTGACCATATCTTCTTTAAATGTTCTGGTTTGGGGGATGCCTGGGTGGCTCAATCAGTTAAGCGTCGGCCCTCAGCTCAGGTCATGATCCCAGGGTCCTGGGATCGAGTCCTGCATTCAGCTCCTTGCTCAGAGAGGGAGCCTGCTGTTCCCCCTGCTTGTGTCCTCTCTCTCTGATAAATAAATTAATAAAATCTTTAAAAAACTAAAATAAATTTTCTGGTTTTGGGTCATATGTACAATTTTCTGATAACAAAATGTGTACAATAAAGACTTAGGGTTTCACTGTTGCAGAGTTGAGACACTTTTTGCATTTTTGTCTGAAAAAGAAAATATGTATCTAGGAATATAAAAAAGAATAACGCAAACTTCAATTTTGACCAAATGAAGAGCAATTTATATACATGAATGATGAGTATGAAGAGTAGATTGCACTTACCCCGAAGGTCAAAGGGGTGTGATAATGTTAGGAGTTAATTGGACTACTTAGGTAGTCAGGGCCAGGGTCCCCAACAAGAAAGCAAAAAATCCAGGACAGCTAACACAAAACTGCACTAGCATCCTGCTTTACAACTTAGAAAAGACCACAGTAGCATCCTAACAGCCTCTCCAGGAGTGACTTTTGCAAAACATCCTGAAACAAAACAATGAACCATAAAACATTGGTTACAATCACAGGTTGAGGCAGTTAGTCTCCAAATGTCAGCCCAAAAGACCATCAACATGTGAACAATAACCTGATAGGTAGACAGGTGCATGATCAAAGCTCTGATTGGCACACCTTAGCAGCCAATCCACAGGGGGCCCACACTCAGGATGCTCAAGATAGTTCTGCAAAAGAGCTTATAAAAACCCTTAGATTTAAACCCCAAAATGGCAACCCTCTCCGGTCCCCTCCATCTCTAAGAGCTTTGTACTATGGCTCAATAAAATTTGCTTTGCTGCCCACCACTCTTCATCTGGTCTGCCTCTTTATTCTTTGAAGCAGCATGACCAAGAACCGCGGGCACTAAGGAAACAAAAATCCTGTAACAATAAAACCCTAATTAGTATTTTCCCAGGATAGTACTTGCAAAAACTCCAGAAGTGCACAGTATTCTACAGTTAGTGGCTCACTGTGTGGGAGAAAACCACAGATCTCTGGTTTTAAACAATGGAGTGTGTCCACATGTAGTGGCAGAAACTTCATGCAACTCATTTATTATGAAGGAGAATCTGGAAATAAATGTTTGATTAAACAGTTTACACAAAGGGGCAATATGAGAAGAAGCCAACAGTGAATAAGACCAGCATATGGGGAGAGAATTTGCAGTGTGAGCAGACTTGGAGTTAGTGATATGTGTTGGTTGTGAGGGGAGAAAAAATTGCCTAATAACAATCTCATACACATCTGGAATCATAATGAGACCATTTGTTGGGATGGAATCTTCCCAGCCCTTAGTGAAATGTCTGCAAATTTCAAAGCCAGGAGAAAAACAGACTCACTTCATCTAAAACAAATACTATATTAAAATTAAAAAAAATTAAAGGCCTATGCAAAATAGTACAAGAGCAAAGGAAAAAAGGAAACTTCTACAAATAATGTAATTAGCAAAGAAACAGCAGTAATTACTAATTTTTGATGAGAAAGAGGGTTGTTTGGTATTCTATCGGTGGCACAATGACCAGATGAACATTGCAGTGAAAGTATTATTGTGGATTTCCCCTTAATTTTTACTTCAAAATAGGTTAAGTCTGTAGATATTTTTGAAATGCAAAAAATGAGTCTTATGTGGCCATAGACTTAGAGTCACCCAATTTAAGTACATTTGGTTTGTGTGCGTGTAGTGTCTGCCTGTATTTTATATATATAAACTAGGTTCAGTGGCCATAGGGGGCGAGGAGGGGGCAGAAACCGCAGTTAGACGCCAGGCTAGAAGAGAAATTTGCTATTAACTGTATGTATATTCTCCAATACCAATAGAATTATTTACTTCCCACGTTTGAAATATCCAAAACATTCATTCTAATGTGCACAGAAAATGAATGTCATATAAGTGGATTGTTGCTTTTTATCAGAGTTGGTTTTCCAGTGGCTGCAGAGTGCAGGGCTTTTGCTGTTTCCCTACTGTATTTACTTTTGTTGCTTCTTTTCTTCCTTATAAAATAAACTCCGTAAAGCCAGAATGAAATTCTATTCCTTCTTCCTCACCCGATTTCAGACACGTCAGGACTTGCAGAAACTCATAGGAGACACCGGGGCAAAACTGACTTTGGTCAATCAGATGAAAAGCCCTTTCCCAGGAAAAACCGAAAAGGAGATTAAAAACGCAAAGCAGGTTCCACCGAGACTTGAACTCGGATCGCTGGATTCAGAGTCCAGAGTGCTAACCATTACACCATGGAACCCCGCGTGAAAGGACCCGTTTGCACAATTGTCTATGATGAGTTTCCGAAACTCTACTGAAACCATTTAGTTGAGTTTATGAGTCAGAATTTTTAGTTCATGTCCACGCACGACAGTCTTTCGATAAAAACCCTAGGAGATTTTATTTTTACCTTATCTTTTGCCACCTGCATGAACCCATACAGTCCCCCACCCCCAACTCAGGCACTTAGTGGTCCCAGTCCTTGAACGTCTCGTATCCACGGTATGATTTAATGCTCAGATACTGGGTGAAGATATGGTTAGTCCTTATGTAAACGGGGGAATAGGCTTGGAAATTTCCTATCTGCGATCTGCACTTCTGCTCAGTTTCAGCCATGTGGTATTTTCCCCACGCACTTCATTTATCAGGTATATTGCTTCGAGGAAAACAAACTTTAACGTGTCCCTTTCTGGCACAGTCATGGAAGGCAGCTTGCAAGAGGAACTGGGGCAGGTTGTGCTTGCAGAGGAAGACGGAACGTGTCGCGACGGGTAAGGGGCGTGTGGGACACGCTGCGTGTCACCGTCTAGACCCGGGGTCCCGGGTCACACTCGCCTTCCTCGTGAAGAAGGTGCCCAAGGAAGGCTGCCAAATCGTACCCCAAAACGTTCTTTACTGCTGCGCCGCAGAGACTTTTTCTCCCTCTGCATCCCCCACCCCCCACCCCCCAGCGCTCTTTGCCTAAGAACAGGGTTCTGGGCGCGGAATTGTGTCGGAGAGACTCCGGGGGTGCGGGCTGCCTTCCCAGCGCGTCCCACGACCGCAGAACGACCTCTCATACAAGGACAGCAGTAGGCGTCCTGCGATCAGAAACCTGGTCTCCGCGTCGCTCACCCCGCCGCGCCCGCCATCCCGAGGAAGGTGGCGGCACGCAAGTCCCCTGAGAACTGGGCGGAACGAGATCGCAAAGGCGGCCCACCTCTCCTTCCAGTGGTCTCAGTGATGAAAAAAAAACAAAACACAAGGAACTTGCAAAACATCCACGCCATGCAAAACACCAACCCCATGCAAAACCGTTATAGGGCGAGGACCTCGTCCCCAAACCTGGATTCTGCTCACCCACACAAATGCGAGCGATCTTCAGCACGGGAAGACGGTGTTACCCTGTAACTCACAAGAGCAGGTGCAAAAACATTGCCACAGAAAATAATTTTAAAGGGAATGTGGAACTAGAGCTTGCAAAATACTGAGCTGAAACCTCTCCTCCTTTAGCGAATAACCATTATCATCTCAAGCTTGGGGATAGCCAGTGTCCCCTGAAAAGTCACTTCTTGGTCTAGGGCTATATATGTATATATCTGAAAAGCAGGAATAAGGAATTGGATAAAGAAGAAATTAGAACTGAAATTTAAAAAAAGATTTAAACAGAGAAATATATTTTTTAAACTTCTTATTGTAGAAAAAAGTCGTTAGATTAGTGCCTTCTACACAACCATTTAACTAGTTTTATTAAATTCCTGGGGAAGGCCAGGTGCTGTGCAAGGTGCTAGAGACTGTAAAGGTAAACAGGACAAAGGCACAATTCCTGTCCTCATGGAGATCAGCATCTGCCAGGAAGGAAGCTCCCTAAACACAGACATGAAGAAAGTTCACCCAGGGATAGGTTGGATGAAGTGCTTGTAACTGGCACGGATAAGATGGAAAGCTAAAATACAAATAAAACTGGGAAATGTGGGTTTACACAAGAATTGATAATGCTACTCTGCAGAGAGTGCTGGTCCATGATCTTCCATATAGAAAATGCACAATATGAGTTGAGCATATGATCCTGATTATAGAAGGTGGAGTGGTGGGGCGCGTGGGTGGCTCATTCAGTTAAGTGTCTGCCTGCGGTTCAGGTCATGATCCCAGGGTCCTTGGTGAGGTATCTGCTTCTCCCTCTGCCTCTCCCCCTGGCTTGTGCTCTC